GTCTCGCCAAGTTGCCCAGGTGGGTCTTGAACCCGCGGGCTCCGGCAATCCACTCACCCCAGCCTCCCAAATCGCTGGGATTACAGGCTGAGCCACAGAGCCCAGCTAATAAAATGTTTCTTAACATTAAGAGTGCTCTAAGTGATGTGTATACAGCATGAGTGTCATGGTCACATCCTCTAGTCTAGTGGAAGAGACAATCAATAAACATATGAACTAATAATTACAGATTGTGATAAAGAAAAGGGCAAGATACTATGAGAAAGATGACAAGGGGGACTTGTTTTAGTCAGGGTCATCAGGCAAGACCTCACTGAGTAAGTGACCAAAAAGATGAAAAGGAGCAGGTCGGATAAAGTTATCGGTTTGTGTGGATGTGAAACTCCAGGGGGAAAGCAAGTATAAAGGTCCCGAAGTCAGATTGTGCCTGGCACACCGAGGTGGCCAGCGTAGCTGAAACAGTGTGTGTGGGAGGAGCAGGAGGAGGTGAGGTCAGAGAAGTGGAGGGTGGGGACGGCTAAATAATCTGAGTGAGATGGGAGCCACAGGAGGACTGTGGCCTAATTTAGGATTTAACAGAATCCCTCTGGATGCAGTGAGTAGAACAGAATGGGAATGGAGGTAGAGATCTGTCAAGAGGTCCAGGGAAATGACTGAGAAGTGGTAAGATTATGGATATATATTTTGGAGGTAGAGCCAACAGGATTTTTTTTTTTTTAATGAATTAGATGTGGGATGCTTAATAAACTCTCTCCCTTTCCATCCTGGCTAACCCAGTGCCAGAAGCTATATCCACCCAGGCGCTGCCATCTCCCTGCCTAAACCCATCCCCTCACCTTTTCCCCTTGTCTTTTCTCCCTGATATCCTCCCGATATCCGAGGGAAATCTCATTTCTCTTTTTTTAAACTTAAAAATATTTTTTTTCTAGTATCCTCTCTCCTGCCGAACTCTCACTTCTCTTTTAAAGCCCAGCGAGAATGCCGGCAAGCCTTTCCAAGGCCCCCGCCCCGCCCCTTTCCTGCTTTGAAATCCCACACCACCTCCCTTACCCCTGGGGAGAGGTAGCAGATTTATCCTGTCATCCCAGATAGGTGAGCTCGTCTGACCTTCAAGACCCACGCCCGTTTACCCTCATCATCTATTGGCCTTCTCACTTATTGGTTTGTCAGTCCCTTCCCTCCTCTTCCCTTACTTGACTCCAGCGCTCGGTGATTATCTGCGTAAGTCCTCCTGCTATTCCTTCCTTTCATTGGTTGCTCTGCCCACTTCTCTTTCCCATCTCGTTCCTCCAAGTTGCACTTCTTTCTCCCTCCCATTGGCTCTTCATTCTGCCCATCTTCAAGCACCACGCCCCTGCTCTCCACTCATTGGCTAGTTTTTTTACTCTTATCCTATAGCTGTGCCTCTCTATTGGCTTCCTCCAACGTCAGTCCTTATTTGCACAGCGAACCCCTTCCGGACTGTGTACTTCTGACTCTTATTTGGTTTACTGACCCGCTCATCTCCTTTCTTGTACCTGCTTGGCCGCACCGCCCGCCAGTCACTCACCAGGCTACATCTGATTGGAGAAGGAGGTGGGCGCACCCTGCGGGCCGTAGCCTTGCTGCCCATAGTCGCCCTGAGGCCCGTAGCCGCCGCCACCGCCGCCGGCTGGCTGCCCGTAGTCGGGCTGGTAGCCGCCCTGGGGCCCGTAGGAATCCTGGGGCCCATATCCACCGGGGCCTTGCCCGTAGCCTGCATCTCCGTAGGCGTCCCCGGGTGCCGGTTGCTTCTCGGGGGCGCCGGGAGGTGCACGCAGGAACGGGGCAGCCCAGCCTGTCTCCTTAAACACGAACCACAGGTTGCCGACCCAGAGCACCAGATTCAGGAAGCCGAACACCTATAGGGAGACAAGGCCCGGCTGTCGTCCTTCGCCCATTTCCTTGGCGGCCCCGGGGGATATCGAGGTCGCGCGTGCAGAAATGGGCATGTAGGACATGAATCTGTAGACTTCCGGAGGGTGGTGGTTTCTGAAACCTGGACCCTCTGAGTCCCAGCGCGTGAACGTCAATGTGCAGAAAAATCACTTTTAGAAGGGAGAGGGTGTGTTAGAATTCGGATTCCTGAGGTTGTTAAGCTATATCAACATTACATACACAAGTATTTATATGTTTGCACATATTGCATACACATGTTTACAGATGTATAAAATATAGTGAATTTAAATTTGTAATATATAGTGACGTGTATAGATATACAACTCACATATATACATATAATTGTGTATACAAATATATGTATAAGTCCACATGTAGCAAATATATAAATATAATACTTTTAAAATCTAGATTTTTTTCTAGTTCCCTCTCTCCTGCCGAAATCTCATTTCTCTTTTAAAGCCCAGCAAGAATGCCGGCAAGTCTTTCCAAGGCCCCCGCCTCGCCCCGCCCCTTTCCTGCTTTGAAATCCCACACCACCTCCCTTACCCCTGGGGAGAGGTGGCAGATTTATCCTGTCATCCCAGATAGGTGATCTCGTCGGACCTTCAAGACCCACGCCCGTTTACCCTCATCATCTATTGGCCTGTCAGTCCCTTTTTAGATTTTTTTCTAGTTCCTTCTCTCCTGCCGAAATCTTACTTCTCATTCCATTATGAAATGGAACTTTTCATAAAATATTTTTAAAACATAAAACACTACCTTTATGTTGCACCCTCTTCTAAGCGTTTTATATGTTAATAGTTCACTTAAGATTCAATATTTGGACAGGAATTAATATTTCCTTTCCTTTTTTTTTTTTTTGAGTTGGAGTCTCACTCTGTCACCCAGGCTGGAGTGCAGTGGCACGCTCACGGCCACCTCAACCTCCACCTGCTGGGCTCAGGTGATCCTTCCGCCTCAGCCTTCCAAGTAGCTGGAACTACAGGCACACGCCACCATGCCCGGCTAATTTTTTGATTTATTGTAGAGATGAGGTCTCACTAAGTTGCCCAGGCTGTTCTCAAACCTGTGGACTCAGGTAATTCTCTCACCTCAGCCTCCCAAAGTGCTGGAATTATAGGTGTGAGCCACTGCACCCGGCCTGGAATTAACATTTTCATTTTACAGTTGGGGAAACTAGGGCCCACAGAAGCTAAATTGTCCGTGGTCTCACAGTCAGCAAGTGATAGGAAAGAAGACTTATAATCTTAGCATCTGTAACACTTGTCTACAACTTACCTTGTGCCAGACCCTTTTCCAAGCACTTTGTATGCTATTAGTTAACTAAATACTCAACTCTGGAATATGACCCATTACTAGTCTGCAATTTACATGCTCAAACTGAGCCTTGAGAGGCTATGTGACTAGTTTCTGGCCACAGCTTGCAGTGTCAGAGCTGGGATTTGAGCTCAGATATTCTGACTTCAGCCAGTAGGGGGTGTCCAAGTGGGGGAACATTTCAAGTCATTCCTTCATTTTGCTCATGAGAAAACTGAGGTCCCAAGTGGGTGCTGAGTTGCCAGAGATTCTTCATGACTAGGCTGAGTCTGGGATCCAGGTCTCTCAAACCTAATCTGGACAAAAAGTCTCATACCCCCCTGGCAGTCTGTGGTGTCACAGTGGTTACAATTGCTATCTCTTCCTCGGATGCTGTTGTTGGCATGACTCCTCCAGGAAGTACCCTCGGATCCCCCCTGATTCTCCTCTCATTGTTTTTTTTCACCACTCCTCATGCCTGACTGTAAATTTTTAAGTCTCCCTCCTCCAGCCAGCTCCCAAGGCTTACCACCGAAGTGTTGAGTCCCGAGGTCACAGGGTCCCTCAGCTCCTTGCATGTGTTCCCTGTCTGGCGGCAGATAGGCATCTCCTTGATAATGTTCTCTGGGTCCGTAGCCATCTTTACGTCTGACAGCCCCTTGGCCCACGCCGATGAGCTAACTAGCCACATGAAAGCAAACACTGCCGTGGCCAGAAAGTCCTAGGGCAGGCAGGGGTAGGGAAGATGGCAGTGAATGGGCTGCCTCATGCGAGGTCTTGGGGCCTCCTCGAATCACAGGCTTTCTTGAGAGAGCGGTACCCCCAGGGGAGTCCTGTCTCTCCCCTGCCTTTTCAACTCTCAAGCCCACAACACTTTCACCTGTAGATGGCCCTCCCAACTTGGGCTTGTGCGTGTAAGTGACACAGAGAATGTGGGAGTGTGATTGTGATTTGTGGGTGTGGGTGTTGGGGGGAACTCTGTGGGATGGTTTCCGAATCTGTGGAAAGTAATGTGCCTTTCCACTTTTATCTGCATATGGGAATTTGTGTCATTTTGTGTCTGAGATGAGGGTGAGTATAGCTGTGCAGGAACTGGTGCATCTGTCTATGTGGCATAACACGCATGATTGTTACAGTGCACCTCTGTGGGCTCCTTTTTCTAGTCTAGACTGCATGATTGTGTGAGAATGGGCAGGTTCATAGGGGTGGGCCTGGATTCTGCATGGGCTCTGGGTATGTCCCTGTGACTTTCTGACTCTATGTCCCTAATGCCTGGTGTGGAATCATAGCAGCAGTGGCAACATGTGTGGCTGTTATGGTGGCTGCTTGCATGTGGACTTATCTGGGATTTGGTGTGGCCTGTGAACATGGCTGTGTCCCTGAGGCTCCATGTCCCCATGGTCCCTGCATGCAAATGGCTGTGGGGACTCACCAGCATAGGCCCTTTGTTGTTCTCTCGGTACTTGTTCTGTAGGAAGATGTAGGTGGCCAGAGCCCCCATGGAGTAGAGGAAGGCAAACACGGCCACGGTGACAAAGAATTCAGCTGATGAGGAGTAGTCTCCCACTAAGAAGACCTTGGTGGTGCCCCCTTGGCAGTTGGGTGCATCAAAGTACACTTGGTGCAGCCTGCAGACAGAGGTGGGCAGGTGTGGCCCAGCCCTAACTCCCTCAACCCCTCATCCCAGTCATGGGTCCCCAAGATTCTGACAAGGTCCCAGGAAGTGGAGGAAATAACCCATTCATGGAGCACCTACTATGTACTAGTCACATTTCACTGATTGCTCAAGACATCCTAGTGAGATAGGTGTTATTCCTCCCTCAGTCCTATCCAGGCACTCTGGCCTCTTGGTTATTTCTTCTCCAGCTTGCCAGGCATCCTTCCTCCCTGGGATCTTTGCACTGGGCGTTCTCTTTGCCAAGAATGCTCTTCTCCTAGGCATCTTCAAGTCTGACTCCCTCATCTCCTTCAAGTTGCTCGATGGTCACTTTCTCAGTGGGGTCTGGTCTTCCTATTTAAAACTAAATGGAACCACTCCCTCCCAGTACTCCTGAGCCCTGCTCCTTGCTTTACTTTTCTCTGTAACAGTGGTTCCCCCATCTAACATACCATGTATGTTATTTTTTAATCTTGATTTTTGATGTTACTACAAGAGGGCAGGGCTCTTCCCTCTTTTGTTCACTGCTGTATCCCCATGACCTGCAACAGTGCTGGCACATAGTAGGCACTCAATAAATGTTTATTGAATGAAAGGTAGAGGTGGAAGCAGAGGTCCAGAGAAGCGCATTAACTTGCCTAAATTCATTCAGCTGGCAAGGGAGTGGCAGAGTTGAGATCCGAGCCTTGCCCCCCCCATATAGAACCCATGTTGCTTCTTCTCCCCACCTCACTTTATGTTCCTAAGAGAAAAAAAATGTATGCATAGCAGAGGAGAGCCCAGAGATTACAAAACAGGAAGAGACAGAAAGGTGAGTAGAAGGTATCTTGGAGGGCTGGGCACAGTGGCTCATGCCTATAATCCCAGCACTTTGGGAGGTGGAGGCAAGAGGATTGCCTGAGCCCATGGGTTCGAGACAATCCTGGGCAACATGGTGAGACCTCATCTCTATAATAAATCAAAAAATTAGCTGGGCGTGGTGGTGCACGCCTGTAGTTCCAGCTACTTGGAAGGCTGAGGTGTTAGGATCGCCTTAGCCCAGCAGGTTGAGGCTGCAGTGGCTGGGAGCAGTGTGCCACTGCACTCCACCCTGGGCGACAGAGTGAGACTCTGACTCAAAAACAAAAACAAAAAACAGGAAAAGATAGAAAGGTGAGTAGAAGGGATCTTGGAGGGTGGGCACAGTGGCTCACGCCTGTAATCCAAGCACTTTGGGAAGCTGAGGCAGGAGGATCACTTAAGTCCAGGAATTCGAGACCAGCCTGGACAACATAGCAAGACCCTGGTATCTATCAATCAATAAGAAGGGATGTTGGAACAAAATGTGTACATGTGAGCAGGGAGGAGGGGATTGGGAAGGTGTTCTGGGACTAAAGACTTTCCTCTGGTGTGATGGAGGGGGCTGTAGGGAGAAAATGTTTGCGGGGAGAGGGATTAGAGTAGAGTCTCAGATGTCTGGCCTCCGATTGGGGTCAGAATCCTGAGACTGAGCAATCAGTGCCAGTGCCCTTGCGTGGCAGAGGTCCTAAAAGAAAGGGCTTACACTTATTAATCACCTACTAAGCAGTTTATGCAACTGTCTCATTTAATGACACTCTCCAGCAATTCTCGAAAGCAGGCATTATTATACCCATTTTACAGATGAACGGAAGATCAGCAAGGTTAAGTTACCTGCCCAGGGTCGCTAGGTGGTGGAGCTCGAAGCTGAATCTGGGTTTGAGTTTCCATGTGTCTAGTAGGCTGGGTTGTAGAGGGGTTGTCTAAGGGGGAAGGAGGGGAGGTCCTTGGAGGGCTATCTGGGCAGTAGGGGAGGGTTGGTGAGAGGGACCCAAGGCAAAGACTTTTCTTCCTGAGAGACGTGTGGGTAAAGAACAGATCTCAGGACCCGAGGCCCTAGGCATGGGAGGTGTGTGGGGGGGTGTCCACAGGGAATTATTGTGGCCTTATGGATTCCCAGAGGGCTGGCTCTAAGCAGTGTCCCACGCTACCAACTACCCTCCTTCCCCAAACTCTCTTCTCCCTTGCCTTTGGGAGCCTATTGATACCTGGTTGCCCCTCCACCACTCCAGTCACACTTTCCTGGCATCTACTCTTCTTTCCATCATGGCTCGGGTGTGAGCTGGGCTTTCCTCTACTTTCACTTTTCCGTCTCCCCACTGGGTGATCTCTTGAGCCTACATTTATCCATAGTGCTCCAAACCTCCAGTTTCCAACTCAGACCCTGACCTCTTTCCTGAACCCCTTACACTTTTTAATTTTACTTATTAAACAAACATGTATGGAGCACTTACTGTGTGCCAGGCACTGTGCTAAGCACTTTATGAATATTAACTCGTTTAATATTAGCCACAACCCTATGAGGTGAGGATCATTATCTCCCTTCACAGATGAGAAAATTGAGACCCAGAGCAGTTATGTGATTGGGTCAAGTAGTGTCTGTGGGTCTCTGTCTCCCCACTCCCCAGGAGGTAAACATCTCCATGAGGACAACAACTGTGCCAGCTTGTGTTCACTCCTGTGCACCTAGCACCCAGCACAGTGCTGGCATGCAATGTGAGCTCAGTAAGTGTCAGGATTGTTTAAGTGGATTTAATAATTCCCTGTATGTAAGCAGTACCTCTTCATTGTCTCTCTTATACAACCCTGCATGAGGCTCTCCTCCTTGAATTTCTCTCCTTCTACAATCATCCTTTCTTATTAATTTGTTTATTTGTTATAGTGTAGGCTCCATGAGAGTAGGGTTGGGTCTGTGTTAGTCACTGCTATGTTCCCGGCACTTTGAGTAGTACCTGGTATACAAAAAGTTCTCAAAATTGTGTATAGAATGAATGAATGGGAATTAAAAAATAACACTGGCTAACATTAATTGAGCACCTGCTGTGTTTAGTAGTCATATATATATACATACATACATTATGTATATCTATCTATCTTTTACTTTTGAATCTTGTTTATTGCCGGTTGCCTATCCCTTCCTTTCACTAGAACAGAGCCAGAGGGTGACAGCCTATGTCCATCTTGCTCACTACATAGTCCTAGAGTTTGGAGTAGTGCCAGGTACAAGGTAGGTGCTCGGTGATCCCAGTGGGTGTGGCCTCGGGGTGGAAGCTGGGCAGGGGCCACTGGGGAGGAGGTATTGGCAGGTCCCACCCTGCCCCGGCCTTTCCCGGGTCTGTTGGGATCCCAGGGTGGAAGCACACCTGAAGGGGTACTCGAACTCAACCTCGATGCTGAGGTCACTCTGGGTCTTGTTGGCACACTCCACGCTCAGCCGGAGCTCCCCACTGTAGCTGCCGCATGTGGCAAAGGCGAAGATGGCGAAGACCTTGGGCAGCAGGGATGGGGATGGCCACAGTGAGCCTGTGTGCACATGGGAGGGGGGTGCCCTCCTCTGGACAGATCGGGGGCCCAGCACAGGCAGCAGCAGATGGAGCAGTCCCCACCCCCACCCCCTAATCAGGGCTCATCGGGACCAAGGACAAGCTGATTACAGGGGTATGGCTGTCTCTTCCTGTTCCTCTCTCTCCCTGTGTCTCTCTCTGTCTCTGCCTCTCCATACTCTGACCTCCCTCCTTTTCTTCTTCTCTCTGCCTGTCTCAGTCTCTCCACTTGTATCTGTTGTTTTCTGTGTCTCACTGTGTCTCTATTTCTCTCAGCATCTGTTTCTCTATGTGTCTTTGTCTTTCTCAGATGTCTCTTTGTCTTTCTGTGTCTCTGATTCTCTGTCTGCCTCTGCCTCTCTAGTCTCTAGGTGTCTCTTTCTGTCTCTTTTTTCTCTGTGTGAGTGTATGCCTCTCTATGTCTGTGCCTTTCTGTTTCTTGGTCCGTTTGTCTCTGTCTCTCTGCTCCGTCTCTCACTTGGTCTCTAGGATTCTGTCTTCCTTCTGCCCCTCTGTGTATTGGTTTCTCTTTTTTCCAAGTGTCTCTTTGTCTCTGTCTCTCTTTCCCCCATTCGTTTTCCTTCCTCTCTCCCTGTGTCTATTTCTCTTTGCATCTCTGTCCTCTGTCTCCCTTTTCTTTGTCTCCTTTTATTTGTCTCTTCTCCCTCTTATTTCTGTACCTCTTTTTTCTCAGTACTTCCATCTCTGTCTCCACCATTCCCTGTCTCTTATTCTTTCTGTCTTCTTCAGTGTCTCTGGATTTCTCTGGTTTTGCATCTCTCTCCCAGCAATCGGCTACAGGCTCCACCTCCTCTGCCCCTCCTTTACTTCAGGAGAGGAGGTAGGACGTCACAATCGACCACTTCACAACGGGGGTACCCTCAGCCCTATGTGACATCACAGTCCATCCGTTCTCTGGCCCCAACTCTTGAAATCTCACCCTGGAACCCAAATTCCCCATCCCCTCCATCCATTCCTCACTCCCCACCCCTGCTCTGCATCTGCTTTTCTGTACCTCACTACCTCCCTCTCTCCCTGTACTCTCCCCCAACGGCCCAGACCACACTCACCCATTGCAGCACCTTCACGAAGCCGAGGGGCTCCTTGACCACACGGAACTGACCCCCAGCCACCAGCTGAGGAGAGAAACAGTGGGGAGAGGGTGGGGTTGTTGGAGGGAGAGAGGGAGGTGAGGGACAAGGCTGACTGGCAATGACCCCCTGGGGATGGGGCATGTGACCTCGGGGAGGGGGTGGTGGGGTAACGTTTGAAGAGGAGGGTGAGAAGGAGAAAGTGACACCTTGGGGAAGGTGTGAGCACCAGAGTCTCTGAGAAAAGACCTCGGGGCTCAGGACTGGTGAGGAGGTTTGGGGTAATGGCGAGTCAGATGGCAGAGGAGGTCAGGGGTGAGGAATATAGGGATGGGGACAGGGCTAAGGAAGGCGAGAAGGTCTCAAACGTAAAAGTGAGTCAGATGGGAAAAGGGTTCAGGAGGGGAGGGTCAGGATGGAGTCGGGGTGCACTCGGGTGGGGGAGGGGGTCTTGAGTGGTGATGGTGAGTCATAACAGGGCAGGAATCAGGTTGGCTTGTGTGGGGGAGGGGTCTACAGTGGTAAAGGTGAGTCAGGTGGTGGTGGTCGGTGTCCGAGGTGATGAAGATGCAGAGGTGTTGGTACTGGTTGGGGAGTGAGTTTTGGAGGTGATGGAAGAAGAGTGAGATGGCGGAGAGGGTCTGGACTGATTAAGGTGGAGGAGGGCTGGGGCATGGCTTCACTCCGTATGTCTTGGGGGAGAGGAGACTAGGGGTTTTGGAGAGGCAAAATCTGATCGTCCCCCTAGGTCTGCTCTGAGGGAAGGGGTGGTCGTCTATGGGGTAGTCTATTTGAAAGGGGCGGGTGCCAGCCTTCCCCCTCACCCCCTGCCCCCACACCTTCTGTCGCTCTATTTCCTAGCTTATCCGCAGCCCCCCCATCTTCCTTCCACCCTCCTCTACCCTTCCCCCTTGCCCTCACTCCAGCCCCAAGGCCCCTCTTCCTCCCCTCGAAGTCGCCAGTAATGAACGGGGCTCTGGGGGCCTCCGCTGCGGCAGTGAGGACAGCCCTCGCTGCGGCAAAGAGCGCACTCCTTTTTCCACCTCCCCCTTTCTCCCCT